CCCCAAAACCCCAAAACCCCAAAACCCCAAAACCCCAAATATTAGCAAATTTACCGTATTATTTATTATTAATATTAAATGTAGGTGAAATGGAATTTTTCTGGAAAATTCGTCACCAGAATTATACCCTGCATGAACACCTTTTGCAAGGAGACTTCATAGAATTGGATTAGACCTTCTTTTAGGATACTTTAGCTCATTTTAGTCTAAAATTTTGCTGATTTTGAGTATATAGATGATACAAAAGGACACTAGGGAAAATACCAAACAGGATGGGGGTGGGTCACCCAGACAACCTCTTGATATTCTAAAAGATTTCAAGCAAAGAAGCTGGATACAAAATTGGACCTATACATGGGTTTTAAGAACAATCAATGTAGGTTAAACTCTAACATTTAGTTTGCTCAAAACAATGAGTTGAAAATAGAGGATATAGGGGAGCTTAGCATAGAGAACACAACTAAATATCATGCTAGCAACTATGACACTTCCAAGATAGGGTAAGAAATTTGAATATTTGGATATCTTATTCTAAAATCCAAATTAGGTTGACAACTTCACAAGATTCTGATAGGAGTCATCCAGATGGTACATTAATCAAAGTTTTATTGAAGGCTTATAGATGGCCTCTTGTGTTCATATTCGTGATGAAAATGTGAGCTCTGGTTCTTGAAAACATTAATTTGCACTTCCTAGGATATATTCTCTCTTATATTGAAGGAGAAAATGATGAGCAAAATCGAGCGATCTTTTGTGTATGTATCATGGCTCTATTTGAATTCCTTTCAAGAGGTGTAAGAGCTAACTCTGACAAGATGCAAATGAACTACTCTAATAGAATGAAAGCTTCAGCATCTAGTTTAGTTTACTCCAAAATGTTCAAAATTTCAAGTGCTACCAACAAGCATTATCAAAAAGGAAAGGTTCAGAATATTATCAACCAAGATTGTGGAAATATCATTGAATTTATATGGGCTCTACCTTATATTCTTTCTGTGCCCTTCGCAACCTTGATAAACTTCTACTCTCTCTACATTTATATTGGGAAAGTTATCTGGGCCCCTTTGATCATTCTTGCTGCAAGTATGGTTCTTTGCTATTACATGCTAGCTATTCATACTTATTATAAAAAGAAGAGGAAGGGAAAGGATGATCGAAGATCGACCATCCTGAACGAGATCATTGATAGCATAACAGTTATCAAGACCAACTGTTTGATTCAGTGCTTTCAAGAAAAGCTTGGCACATTAAGGAAGAAACAGCACTGGAACGAGATAACATCTAAGCTAATGAAAATGCCTGAGCACTTTGCTCAGGCATTCACTCCTTATTTGATGATCATGAGTGTGCTGTATATTTGTGTGTTCAAATCTTCTTTAACATTGACTGTTCCTGTTGCTATGGCAATTTGGAGATTAATAAGAAAGATCAAACAGAATACAGCATGGATTCCTCATTATGGATCTCTCTACACTGATTGTAAGCTCTCTCTAAAAAGAGTTGAAGGATTTCTCCTCAATCCAGAGATTGAAAGTCACCTTATTGAAAGATTAGATTCAACTCAAACTAATTTAGCCATTAAGATCAAGAAATCTAATTTCTTTTGGGGATTTGAGCATAACGATTCTGATGAAGAAAATGACGATAGAATTTATACTTTAAAAGACCAGATTACTTTGAAAGATATTGAACTCAACATCAAACAAAACGAATTCGTTGCCATTATAGGAGATGTTGGCTCAGGCAAGTCCTCTCTTATCAGCACTCTTCTCCAAGAAACCTTGTATATTGATTACAGCACACTTGAAAAGTATAAAGATGTTCAAATTAATTCGAAAAAACAAAAGAAACCCAAATTTTTCCAGAACCTTAAGAATGATGGAACTTCCGACACTATAGACCAAATCATGAATGAGAGGCATAAGAACTCTAAAGTTTCTGAACCAGTAATATCAGTATGAGGTTCAATCAGCTTTGTTGAGCAGAGACCTTTTATCCTCAGCAAAACTATCCGTGAGAACATCCTGTTTGGGGAAGAACTCGACGAGAAAAGATATAACAAAATAGTAAAAGCTTGTCAACTCGGAAGAGATCTAGAAATTCTGGAGGCTGGTGATCTGACTCAAATAGGCGAAAAGGGAGTCAACCTCTCTGGAGGTCAGAAAGCCAGGCTTGGCATTGCCAGAGCTGTCTATGCCAATAGAGATATCATCTTGATGGATGATCCTTTGTCAGCCTTGGATGCCCATGTCAAGAAAGCCATCTTTGATGAAGTATGTTGTGGAGAACTCAAAAATACCACTAGAGTACTTGTCACACACGCAGTAGATTTCTTAGATCGAGTAGATAGAATCATTGTTATCAACAAAGGAAGAGTTATTTTGAATGGCTCATACAAACAACTTGAGAATGAAGAGTATTTCAAGAAAGTAATGAGTACAATCTACAAACAAGAAATCAAAAGTACCAAAGAAGAGTCCAAGGATTTTGATAAAGAAGATGAGCAGCAGAATTATTTAAGCAAGAAGGAAAAGAAACTCCTTGACGAGGATATTAACCAGAATACTGAAATTACAACAGAAACATTCTTAAACTACTTCATGTATCTAAAACAAGGCTTGATTTTCATAATAGCTGGAATCCTGATTAGGTCATTCATCAGAATGGTAAATATTAAAGCAGACTATGAAATGCTAACATGGGTAAAAGAGTTCTCTAAATCCGAACAAGCCAGTATGACTGGGCTATATTATGTTCTTCTCTATGTGCTTCTTATAATATCTTCAGATTTGATTATATGGATCATTGATATTGTCCAAAATTTTCTGATAGATAAGAAGATGTTTGATGCTATGATAAACAGACTTCTGCATGCCCCAATTAATCTTTTCTTTGATAAAGCATCATCAGGAATCATAAATCAAAGATTCTCTGGTAATCTTCGTGAAGCTACAAAGCAACTTCCAAACATGCTCAAGAGAAATATCAAAGATTTTATTGAGATGTGAATCACATTATTTTTTGTGATCTACAGTGCTCCAATCTGTGGCTTGATCGTTCCTTGAGCTGGTATATTTTATTCATTTCTCTTGAAAGGTTATACGCCTGCAAATACTCAAGTAAATAAGATCAAATCTTCAGTGAATAGTCCAGCACACACTCATTTTTCAGAATCAATTGAAGGTATTACGACTATCAGGGCTTTCAATAAAATTCATGAATTTGAAGACAAAAGATTTATGATGTGTGATCAAATATATGGAATTCTATTGGTGAAGAGAGGACTCAACGGCTGGCTTTCAACTAGAATCAACCTTATATCTATCACCTTTGTGTTCTTTCTTTACATGTATTGTATCTTATACAGAGATAACCAAGATCCTATAATTATAGGCCTCCTGATGGGATATATCATGGAGCTTCAATGGATACTAAATCGGTTTGTGAGACAAGCTATATCCATCCATAGTCTGATGACATCTTTTGATAGATGTAAGAAGCTTACTGAAATTCCTCAAGAAGCTGCTCAGAGTTTGCCTGTCCCTCAGGATACTGAAGGAAACCCCTGGATTACTCATGGAAATATCAAATTTACAAACTTCTCTCTCAGATATCGTCCGGACACTGAAATTGTGCTCAAGAATATTTCTATCGATATTCAAGCAGGCCACAAGGTTGGAGTAGTAGGAAGGACAGGTGCCGGAAAGTCCACACTCTGCCTAGCATTATGCAGAATTGTTGAAGCCCTAGAAGGATCTATTTACATTGATGGAGTCGATATCTCTACAGTGGGATTGGCTGATTTGCGTGATAGAATCACTATCATTCCTCAAGAGCCTGTGTTATTCAGAAATATATTAAGGTTCAACCTAGACCCTGAGCAAAAGTGTTCTGATGAAGAACTTATAAGTTTGCTCCATAAAGCCAAGCTAGGTAGCCTTCTAACTAGAGATGGAAGTGGGCTCAATTTCACAATTGCAGACAAGGGTTCCAATCTCAGCGCTGGTGAGAAGGCCTTAATCTGTATTTGTAGAGCAGTTTTAAGACATAACAAGATTGTCATTATGGACGAAGCCACAGCCAGCATAGATGTCAATACTGAGGAGATAATTCAAAAGCTAATGAAAGAAGAGTTTGCAGACTCAACAGTGATCACTGTAGCTCATAGACTGAACACAGTTATGAACAGTGACAAAATAATAGTGATGGATTTTGGAGAGATTATCGAATATGACACTCCTCAAAATCTGCTGAAAAATGAATCTTCCTTATTCTCATCCATGATGAATAAATTCAACAGTTAAAAGATCCTTCTAATATTCAGATTTAATTTTCAAATATTGTAACGTGACATGGGGTTTTGGGGTTTTGGGGTTTTGGGG